TGAGGGGTTATAGTCAATATGTCAGGAAGTTCCTTGCAGCTACTGTTAATAGCTTTGTGCATTGGAGGTGCATTGCTCATGTTGCATGTCACATACAGGGTAGCTGCAGGACTCTTCTTTGTCCTCACCCTGGGGCCTGGCTGAAGGAGACTATTCTCTCTTTCACCCTCTAATCATATATTAATCATCTTTCTATCTATTTATCTATTGGTGTCATTCATCTGCCTGTCTGTCTGTCTGCCTGTCTGTCTGTCCGTCCGTCCATCCATTCATCCATCTATCTATCTATCCATTCATCCATCCATCTATCCCCATCTATCTGTCATATCTGTCATATCTGTCATATCTGTCATATCTATCTATCTATCTATCTATCTATCTATCTATCTATCTCTATCTGTCATATCTGTCATATCTGTCATATCTATCTATCTATCTATCTATCTATCTATCTATCTATCTATCTATCATCTATCTGTTATCATCATCATCATCTACCTATATCCATCCATCTATCCATCGAATCCATTCCTTCTATCTGTCATCTATCTGTCTATCATCTACCATCTATCTATATATTTTGTCTTAGGGTTTCTATTGCTGTGAAGAGACATCATGACCACAGTGACTCTTATAAAGGAAAACATTTAATTGGGAGCTGGCTTACAGTTCAGAGGCTTAGTTCATTATCTATCATCCTGGTAGAATCATGGTGGAGTGCAGGCACACATGGTGCTGAGGAGAAGCTGAGCTTTCTACATCTGTTTCCTCAGGCAGCAGGAAGGAAGAATGAGCCACTGGGCCTAGGATGAGCTTCTGAAATCTCAAAGTCTATCCCTGGTGACACATTTTCTCCAACAAGGCCACACCTCTCAATAGTGCCACTCACCATGAGCTGATGGGAGAGCATTTTCATTCAAACTACCACGTATCTATCAATTATCTATATATCAATCCTCAATCATCTATCATCACTCTATCATTTATCTGTCAACTATGTGTTCATTTGTCACTCTGTCATCTATTTATGTATCTATCATCTGTTAACTACCTATATACCTCTCTGTCAATCTATCATGTTTATCTATGTATCTATTGGACTTGTATATTGATCTCTGTATCTGTGATATATCTATATTCCTATCACTCTACATGTTTATCATATATTAATGTTTCTATTATTCCATGCATATATCAATCTGTGTATCTGTCAGTATATGTAGCTATATATCTATTATTCTATTAACTGTTGTCTGTTTCTATTATTCTATCTATCTATCTATCTATCTATCTATCTATCTATCTATCTATCTAATCAACATGTATGTATAATCTCTCTGTCACTTTTTCTGTCTGTTATTTCCCAGGAGTCAGTCATAACCTCTCAGAGCTCCTACAGTCATCTCATTCTCCATGTTTTTCCCATAAGATTTTTCATCAAGTGTTGTCCATGGCCTCCAACAGCTCTAAAATTAAATGATTGCCCATAATTCTGTTTGACAAACATCTCCGAGTAGAAGGCTTTTCCCAGGGGGCGACTCTGGACTCAGGTCACACACAGCTTGGCAGACAGGTTCTCCAGGGAATCAGCAACAATGAATTGTGGTTTTGGAAGGTCTCCAGTTTCACCTCTCCATCAGTGTCTACACCTACACTGCTGGCTTTTTTTTTTTTTTTTTTTTTTTTTTTTTTGTTTTTTTTTTTCAAAACCTCTGTGGCTGTGGAGAGGAGAGAAGCTCAGGGTAAAATGCCACTAAGTTCTCTGGTTTCCTTTTTCTTGAAAAGCCAAGGTTCTGCACTTGTTGAATAAATGCTTTCCCAGCCCCACCTGCATTGGAACAGTTGTTTTCAATGACATTTTTCGGCCGACTTGTCGCTCTCACAGGACAGAGAATCTTTTGCTTGTCTTACTCTGCCATTTTCTGTGATGTCACTCTGTTGAATACTGATGGAAATGCATTTCCAAAAGGCTGTCTGGACACTTTAGTGTGAAGTCTACCCCATCCAACATCAGGAGCTGGGGAGGCATGTCTGTTAGCCGATGCTGACCTTATGTCTTGGCAGTGGATGATGTTGCTGTGATGCTGAACACAACAATTTCTTTTTCAGTGTGCTGAGGGCTGGGAGGGATCACCTTTGGAAGTATTGAGAAGGCTGTCCATGGATAATAGGGAGAAAGGTGCAAAAATCTACTTCACTCATGGAAGAGCTGAAATGTGGAAACAGCCACTAAGCTGCTTATAACGGGGTTGTAAGTCAGGGCTAGCCATGATTTGTTGTAAGAAATCTGTGTCTGCCCTTGAAACTCAATCTGGGAGACACATCAGTGTCTCCTCCAAGGGGTTCCCCAGGGTGCAAACTGATGCATTATCTGGCTTCTTTCTCTAGAGTCCACCCTGTCACCTAGTCTCACATAAGACTTACTGGATGCAAGTGATAAAACCCAGTTCAAACTGGCTTTAGGGAAGTTGAAGTCTAGTAAAAGCAGAAATTTATTAAATGTTCGAAGACTGTGACCTTCATGTGGGACAGGATTCAGGAATCCAGAAATCTTGACCAGGAACTTGATCTTGCTTCTGATTTTTCTTCTGGCTTCACTGTGGACACAATGTTAGGGAATTTTTCTGGTTGTTTTAGGGTCATGTGCCTTTTCTTGAAGCCTAATGGGGTCAGGTGGGATCAACTCTGGCCAAACCAGTGTGTCAGGAAATTGACAGATCTAGCTAAATGAGAAAGACAGAATCCCCATTGTCTCAACAGTTTTCCAGAGGGAGAGAGGAAAGCCCTACATGCCTGATTTTGGAGGGACGTGTCTGGGAGAACTGGAAGGTGAGGGGACAGGCGCTGATGGGCAACTGGGGTGTGCAGGAGCTTATGTGTGGCCAGTTCTCTCTGGCTCTTTGTGCCATGTTGTCTTAATTTGACATAGGAAGTCTGTGGTCACTGTCCTGTGAAGTCCCTCAAATGAGCGATCATTTTTTCCAAATGAATCTCAAGCTAAGACAAAGATACTGAAGAGAGAGACTTGCTCAGTGGTAATGCACCTGTAGGTCTCCAGAGACCCTATTCAAAGCTTGCTAAGGTGGTGGTGTGTACTTGTCATATCAGTGTGGGAGAAGCAGAGAAAGGCGGTCTCTGGGATTCACTGGCCAGACAGCCTTGCCTATTCAGAGAGCCCTAGGTCCCAATGAGTGATGCTGTCTAAATAAGTATGGTAGAGTGATCACCAAAGTTGTCCTCTGTTCTACACACACACACACACACACACACACACACACACACACACTCCAAAAGCCTCCCCCAAATCCTCCAAAACTACATAACTACAGATGTACACGAGCAAATTAATTAATATTGAAGTTAATTCTTGTGCCAAGTGACAGTCATGCCTGCAAGATGAGAAGGGAGGTACAGGACTTCATGTTGGTTAGTGCCCTCACCACTGGGGACTAACGAGGGTCTAGTGTTGAGCTTAACTATCTACAATGTGAGGTGGAACCCCACTCAGGCTGTCTGGAACTTTCCATTCTCCAGGGATCCATCTGCTCTGGGTAATCCCATCTACTAAAGGCTCCGCAATGTCCCAAACAGTATCAACTGCTGCTGGCCGTTAAATATAATAGAGCAGCTGTGGAGGGTTTGGGAAAGGAAGCCTATTTATCAGGAGTGTGCTTCATTAGGCAAAAGGGCCTCAAGAACATGATCAGACCTGGAGGTGGGAGGGAGAGCAGACGGAGCTAATATGATATATGTAACAGATGAACATTACAGGGGCCTTGAAGGGAAGGAGATGCTTCCCTTTAAAACCTGAATATGATATATGTAATATGATATATGTAACAGACGAACATTACAGGGGCCTTGAAGGGAAGGAGATGCTTCCCTTTAAAACCTGGAGATGAAATTCAGAGAGGGACAGAGACAGAGACAGATAGTCACACAGAGATAGAAACAGAGGCAGAAACAGAGAGACAGAGACAGTCACACAGAGATAGAAACAGAGGCAGAAACAGAGAGACAGAGACAGACAGAGACAGAGACACAGAGAGATACAGAGACACAGAAACACAGAGACAGACAGAGACACAGAGTGACATAGAGGGACACAGAGATAGAAATAGAGAGATGCACAGAGAGACAGAGACACAAAGGCACAGAGAGATAGACAGAGGCAGAAACAGAGAGACAGAGAGACAGAGACAGACAGATACAGAGAGATGCAGACAGACAAAGAGACATACAGAGAGACACAGAAATACGGAGACAGAGAGACACAGAGAGACAAAGAGACATAGAGGGACATAGAAATAGAGAGATATAGAGAGACACACAGAGACAGAGAGACCGAGACACACAGAGAGATACAGAGACATACAGAGACACAGAAACACAGAGACAGACAGAGAGACAAAGACATAGAAGAACACAGAGATATATATAGAGAGACAGACACACAAAGGCACCGAGATACAGAGAGACAGACAGAGACAGAGGCAGCTTCTTAACTCTTATCCCAGAGAAGAGCTGCAATCAAGGTTGTGGTTTGATCTTTACTGTGGAATTTGGCCTCTTAAGAGTGACTACTATTTTAATATACATTTAAAAATTACTTTATATGTGTATGAGTGTCTTATTTGTGTGTTTGTATGTGCACCATGCAATGGAGTGCCTGTGGAGGCTAGGATGTCCGATCTTCCAGAACTGGAGTTACAGATGGTTGTGAGCCACCCACCATGTGGGTGCTAGGAATTGAATCCTGGTCCTCTGGGAGATGAGCTAGTGACCTTAACTGCAGAACCATCTCTCCAGCCCAAGAATGAACACTGCCTTAAAGGGGGCAGGCCCATGTTCTAACAGGGACCATGTTTTCAAGCATGTGAATCTGTTGGCGATATTTCATATTCCTAACAGGAGTCCAGGTGACGGGTGGCTCACTCAGTCACTACCTGCCTCTTGACTCACTCTTGTCGCTTGTCTTTTTCAGGACACAGAAGTTTTGAACACTGCCATTCTCACTGGAAAGCCCGTCTCAGTGCCTGTCAAGGTTGTGGGGGTTCAAGAAGATGGATCTGTGGTGGATGTGTTGGAGTCTGTGGAATGCAGGTCGGCTGATGAAGATGTTGTGAAGGTACTGGAGACACGTGCTCGTGTGTTCCATTCTCTCTCTCTCTCTCTCTCTCTCTCTCTCTCTCTCTCTCTTTTCACCGCCAGCATGTTCTGTCTGAATATCCTTCATTTGAAGGGAGAGTGAATGACCTCACAGAGGAGGAGATCAGTGTCCACAGAGATCCTGCCCTTTCCTTTTCTGGTTCTTGGTCTCAAGTGACAATCTGTTCCTTTTTCACCCTCTCCTTCTTCTCCCTTCCTCTGTCTTTCCCATAAGCAGGCTGCTTCTTTTACTCCAGCAATCCATACATCATTTCAGTTTTTACCAACTGTTTTATGCCCAGTCGGGTTATTTACTGAGTATATTTTCTTTTAATGCCCTGCTTTCCTGGAGCAGCTGTCTGCCTCAGCTGGCTGTAGTCTGCTGCCGATAAGTGTCTCCTTTCTTCAAGCTTAAAAACTAATTTAGGGTCATTATAAGATAATAAAACCCACGAGCTTGATGTGTTAAAATTTTGTTAATATACATTAAAGTAAATGACTATTAAAATAATAATAAAAAAACCTCATCACGCACCTCCTGGCTTGATTTGAGTACCACCAAAGGGACATGCAGCTTGCAGTTGAGAAATCTGGTCACGGGGTATTTCTGCTTGATTCTTTTCATTACTGATCAGTGAATATTTTGGCTCCAAATTCTTCCAGAATCTGCCAGGAGTTTAATTATCTTCGCTGTTTGTGAGGAAACTTTAAGATTTAGTGTTTCTGTTGGTTTCCCCCCCTCCTTCCTTAGCACACCCATTGCCCATTGCTTTTGCTGCAGAGATCACAGAGAGGAAAGAGTCCATCTTCCAGTCTCTCAGAGAGCTTCCAATCTACCCAGATAGTTTAGGGAAATCCAATGCACCCACAGGGTCAGTCCTGCCCTTTACATCATGTCTGCTTCTGCTCAGAGGTGAAATGGGACTTGGCCTCAGGCTTTTCAAACTTGCATTAATTAATTTAATTTCTTAATGTATGCCTATGCAAGCAGCTGCACTCATGCATGTGGAGGTCAGAGGACAGATTTCTGGAGTCATTTCTCTCTTTCCACCATGTGGGGCTCCTGATTTGAACTCAGGTCATGAAACTGAGAGGTAGGTGCCCTTTACCTGCTGAGCCCCCTTGCCAGCCCTTGGTGTCAGTCTTGGACACTTCCTTGTGGCTAGCAAGGAGAAGTCTAGAAAAGGTTGATGCTTTCTCTGTGTGGCCTGCATGAGACTGCGTCTGGGTCCAGAGCATGTCTGATAAAGAAGGATGTTGGATCCATAAAGTCTCATTGAACAGCTGTGAATCTGCAGGAGCCTCCAGTGTGGCCTACTTTGTTTCCTGGGCATGGGCCACGAATTTTCCCCAAAGACAAAAGCAGGCTAGTTTAAAAAACACAATATGGCCTCACCCTGGGATCCTGGCATTCTTTGTGTTCTATGGGCAAGCCAGATTAAACAAACCCAAGGTCTTCCACCACCTACAATGTGGCCTCACCCTGGGATCCTGGCACTCTTTGTGTTCTATGGGCAAGCCAGATTAAACAAACCCAAGGTCTTCCACATTAGGAGTCTAGAAAGACCTGAGTCTGGTTGCAGGAGGTAGGTACACATGAAACACACTGACACTATATATGCACACACACACACACACACACACACACACACACACACACACACACACACACACACACACAGTCTCTCACTGAATCAGATGCTTACTGATTTGGCTACACCAGCTGGCCAGTGAGCCCTAGGGAATCCTCCAGTCTCCACTTTTAGAGCTTGAATTGCAAGCACACACCATACACCTGGTTATTTATGTTAGTGTTGGGGATCTGAATGCAGGTCCTCATACCATTTAAGGACTTCACCAACTTAGTCATGTCTCCAGTCCAGTATATTTGTTTTCTCTGTCTCCACATCATTCAAAAAAAAGCAGACATTGCCAGTGGCTTAGGGAGGTGGTGTCTAAATGCTTTATGCTGACACGGGCTCAAACAAATTACTTTCTCTGTTTCGCCCCAGCCTTTGGTTCTCTCCCAGTAGTCTTATGGAACCATGCAGGATGGAATCCTTGTTCTCTTGCTCTGGAGAATTCTGTTGCAGAGAAGTGTGTCCAAATTTGTGAATCCCATTGCTGTCATATCCATAGTTGTTCCAATGCACAAAAAATGAACTAAAACCACTCTCTGCCCTTCCTGAAGGATATGATATTTTGGAAGATGAATTTCTTTTTTTTTCTTGGCTGTCTTGTGGGAACCTCATGAAGAAGGGTCCACTCTTTAGAGGAGCCAAATAAAGCGAGCTGTCAGATCATCAAGCCCAGGGCTGCTTTCAGACAGGCTTTGCTGGCGACCCTGGGATTTAATTAAGTGGCTCAGATACATCTGCTATGGTTTCTCTGTCTGTATTTGTAATACATTTTGCTGCAGCTGGAGGATGGATGGAATTTTTTACAGGGCTGTGCACCAGCCTCAGTGTCACCCCGGGGGGTTGCTGCGACATCGACAAAGTCATTAGCACCACCAGAGAGATCCATGCATCTGTTGCCCAGCCACTTCTGCACATTGGGTCTGGGACTCATAGGAGTGGGTCAAGTGTTGAGTTTGAGGAGATGGGAATTGTGGAGACAAACAGGCTCACTCCTGTGACCTGAGGATCTTGTGACTTTCAGACAACAGTTATAAACAGCTGGAAAAGGTCCAGATGCTGTCTATATCTGTTGAGGGTGGAGAAACTAACACAAACTAAAGAAAACAGGAAACAAGCCTTATAGTTGTAACTCTCTCTCTCTCTCTCTCTCTCTATCTCTCTCTGTCTCTCTCTCTCCCCCACCCCTCTCTCTCTCTCTCTCTCTCTCTCTCTCTGTGTGTGTGTTTATGTGTTTGTGTGGCTATGTAAGTGTGTCTATGTCTGTCTCTCTGTGTGTATATGTGTGTGTCTGTCTACATGTGTCTCTGTATCTGAGTGTGTCTATATGTGTCTCTGTCTGTCTGTCTGTAAGAAGCCTTGACCTTTATTATTAGTGACGAGATCCAACAGGTCTGCGGGCTTCCAGGTTGCTATCTACAGATAGTTTCACTGGAATTCAAGAATGCATCTGTAGTTCACTGTAGAGAAACAGAGAGGCAGTCTGACTATAAGGCCAGACTTGGCCCAGAGGGATGTAGGGATGTGTATGTGTGCATGCCTGCATGCCTGCATGCATGTGCTCATACACATGGAAGTTGTTTCTTTTCTTTCTTGTGTGTGTACATTCATGTGTATGAATGCAGGTGGACCTGTGCCACAGTTTGCACATGGAGGTCAGAGGACAACCTTGGGTGTCAGTCCTTGCCTTCCATTTTGTTTGAGAAAGAGTCTCTGTTGTTTTTCATTGCTTAATCCAGGCTAGCAGGCTAGCTAGCTTCTGAGAAGTCTCTTGTCTCCCCCTCTTACCTCCTAGCAAGAGCACTGGGGTTGCAGATATTCATACCATTCAGATTTTAAGTGGATTCTGAAGATTGGAGCTCAGGTCTTTACACTTTTGTGGCAAATGTTTTTATCCACCCAGCCATCTCCCCAGCACATGAATTGCTTATCATCATTATTATTTAATTTATAATCATTTGTATTAGTCAGAGTTCTCTGGAGTAATAGAATTTATAGACTGAATCTCTAGATATAGAAAGGGGATTTAACAGAATGACTTTTAGGCTGTGGTCCGGCTAATCCAATAATGGCTGCCTAAGAACAGAAAGTCCACAAATCCCGTAGTTGTTCAGTCCAGGAGATTGGGTGTCTCAACTGGTCTTCAGTGTACACTGGAATCCCAAAGAAGTAGGCACTAATGCCAGTGAGGGAATGGACTTCCCAGTGAGAGTGAGAGCAAGCAGCAGAGAAAGAGCTTCCTTCTTCCATGTCCTTTATATAGGCTGCCAGCAGAAGGTGTGGTCCCAGAGTAAAGGTGGCTCTTCCCACCTCAAAAGATCTGGATTAGAGGTTTAAATTTCCTATCTCAAAGATCCAGATTAGGAGTGGGTCTTTCCACTTCAGATGATTTAATTAAGAAAAAATCCCTCACAGATGTGTCCAGTCATTAGGGTTTTAGTTTATTCAAGATATGGTCAAGTTGACAGCCCTCACACCATTATGAAAAATTTGGCAAATTCATGTAGAAATCTGTATTTCTAGCCTATGAAAATCCCCAAGGTTGAGTAGCCCCAGGTCCACATCCACATCGCTTTCTCTGAGACTTTTCTGAATTTGAGCAGAGGCTGTTTCTTTGTGGAAGGTCCATTCTGCTCACTGCAATCCCTGCCACCCACTTTCCACTCTCTGTAGAGGCTGCAGGGATGTCACACTTGTGTGCTCACATTCTGATTTTAGATTTGGGAAGAAAGTAGAGATGCTTTTTGTACTCTGGTTCCCTCTTAAAAAATAATGCAACAATACTACAGTCCACTCCATCACTCTGATGGCAAATTTTGTCTTTGTAGAATATGAAAGGGGGCATTAGACCTGTGGAAGAATGTGAGGGGATAGAGGGTTCTGGAAATTAAACCACAAGAGAAAATACTGGAGGAGGTGGGGAGCCAGCTGGGCTGTGAAGAGGGAGCCATCATAGTGCTCTTTACATATGTCAAGGACCACTGTGGGGAACATGCAGTATGGGTTTGCCTTTTGGTCCTCAGAGTGGAAGTTAAAGGGCCATTCTTAGTGGAGAGAAAAGATGGTAGGAATAACGAGTTCCTTGGTTAAGATTTTAGACATTGGTTATGAGTTCAGATCCTAGTTCCACCTTGCTATTTGGTCTTAGATAGACTTTGAAGCCTTAGATAGACTTTGAAACCACTCTGAACCTAGCTTTCTTATCTCTTAGGAGGGGGCAGGACACAAGAGGCCAATGAGGCAGTGGGCAGATTTCTTACAGAAGGATTTCTTCTAATGTCATTGTGGGAGGCATACCAAAGAGCTGTCAAAATAAAACTCAAAGCTTCTCCAGAGAAATGTG